TTTTCGTGTCATGGTTTTTAATAAAGCATTGGCATTCCGAGGGGGAAACTTATTGTGTCCATCTGCTAGCCGATTTATTTATTGATTTTACTCATATAAGACATAATTTCTCCAGAAACTTTTAAAAAATCAAAATCATTCAGTAATATTGATTCAAGTATATTACAGTGCGGATAATGTACTTGCTATCAATGGTTATCTTTCTATTATAAATCTTGATGTCCTCTTTGAAAGTGACTATAGCAAGTCAGGTAATTTAAATTCTACTATCATCAATGTTCCTCATTATGCATTAATATTCCTCTTTCTCCTACATAAAGTGAATACATTTTCCACCTTAATGAATATGTAGAATTTACAGTGGTCTTGGTGATTTTGCAAAACTCTAACAACTATCTGTATGACCAATCAGAGAAAAGCATGTTTGTGGACGGGTTTTTTCGATGTATCAAATTATGCCTTGTATATACATGCTTTAACTCAAATGCAGAATTAGTGAGCGAGATTGCTAACCTTCTTCCCCGATAATTCTAAGATCTGGGAAGAGCTCAAGCCATATTCAAATTTTTTACTACTGGACATGTTACTGGTCATACATGCAATGCATCATGAGAGGGAATTCAAACTTTGCACTTCTGAGCCTATTAATGAGCATATGTGTTATGCACTATGAAAGAATAGTTGTAAATAATTTTGTTTTATATAGTGTTACACTAATAATTTCACGGATTTTTGACGGCAGAATATTAATAGGTGATTTTTCGTTCACTGCTAGATCTTGAGTGATGCTTAGATTTTAAACTTTAGATTTCCACTTTTTTCATAGTTGAATGTTGATTATTAGAACTCGAGTCGCAGAATTCAGACTTCAAAATGCTAACCATTACACCATATATATATATATATATATATATATATATATATATACTGCTTAGTAGACCTATAAATGTTTTAGATGAAAGACCCGCCGTAAACGTAAATGAAAATGTTTTATTTCAATTTAAAATTTCTGAAATATTTTAATTTTACACCT